CTCAAACCTGCAGATGGCGGGCATGCATCCCATCCCCTCACCTCCTATGCAGGCGGCCAGCGGGGCGTGCGCCCCCCCCCCAGCGTGGGAGGCCTGTGGGAGGCGCACGGCCCCCCCCAGCATGGGCGGCTGTTGGGGGCGCGCCTCCCCACCCTGCCATACGGGCGCTCGGTGGTTGTGCAGCCCCTCTTGTCCCTGCAGCCAGAGAGTGCCCGCTTTCCCCACAGCTGCCATCCTGGCTCCAAGAATTCTCTCCAGACCAAGTCCACCTTGTGGCAGTGTGGTAGCTTCACTGTACCAGTCTTGAGGAGGGCTGGTGCCCAGCATCCATCCTGGGTGAGGGAATCTATTCATTCAGGCTGTGGAAGCCTCATGGAGCTGCAGCAGTTGTGCGATGCGGCATGGGCTCTGCAGGGGGGGGAGGTTGGGAGCCACGAGACTCACCCATTTCTCCTTGGGAATCCTTGAATTCCTGTTGTTGAGTCTCGATCTTCACTGAGGGCCAGTCATCAACTGTTTAAGTGTTCAATTATCAATAAGCCGAAGTCTGTGGAAGGCCATAATGGCCCTGCTTTAAGTGGTTCGCTGCTCCTGCAGCTCACCATGCTGTCTCTGCCTCCGCCGCCATCTTGGATCTCCAGGGTTTTGTTTTTTTCTTTAAATTAATTTTAATGAAAATTTACAGAGATTTTGGATTTCCATTTATTCATTGTTGCACATTTCTCCGTGCCCACCCCTCCTCCCGAGTTCACTCCTCTCTTTGAAAAGTAGAAGAAAAATTCTTTCATTGGTATACAATCCCCCCATGCCTCCCACCACTGCTCCGAGTACACTCCACTATGCAACCTTAATTCTGGACTCTTGTCTTCCTCAGTTTTAGCAAGTAGGGTGTGTCATCTGCAGGTTGTTGATGAGTCTTCCTCCAATCCTGGTGCCACATTCCTCCTCCTAGAGTCTAGCCTCCCAGATGATCCGTTCTGCATATAGATTAAAAAGGTATGGAGATACGACACATCCCTGGTGTACACTCTTTCCAATTTTGAATCATGCAGTGTTTCCTTGCTCTGTTCTGATGACAGCCTCTTGGTCAAAGTATAGGATT